GTCCACTCAGAAGAAACAGTCGAGTGCAAAGGGTCAAGTAATTTTTAACTTTGACTTTACTTTTTAATTCTTAATACTACATTATTACGTATTGTATACAATTATTTCTCTATTTTTATGCCTTCGATGCCTCTGATGGAAACTCTATGCTTCAATCGTCGCTTCTAATGTTAATCTCTGCGCCTCGAAGTTCCTTCGACTTCGTCAGCGGCGGTAATTTGCGCTGGGCAACCGATTGCGGACCGTAACGAGTGACCGAACCGTATATACAACAATTTGTCGCTTTCTTTTTAAACTCGTCGATATGACATCACTGCATAGAAATTACTAACAAGTGATAAATTTATTATTCGTTTTGCCTGGGTTATACCTAAATATACTTAATAAACTCGAGAGAATATTACAATTTTGGAACAAAGAAATTCTCGAGCATTCGGGCGCAAGAGGTTAAAACTCTAAGGAAGGAACCACGTGTCCGCGAAACTCGCGAACCGCGTACAGACAAAGTTAAAGAGATGAAGCTTAGGCGAGGACATCTCGTACTCGTTGCAAATGAGAATTTGCGCCAGAAATGGAAACTTTTAAACCCCTCGATCGTTCCTCGAAAACTAATTCAAACGTAATTCCACCTCCCGCTCGTGCAAGAAACAAAAGAAAACGAAGAAAGGAAGAAAGAGAGAAAGAGCAAACACGAAGCTGCGAAAAGAAGCGAGAGCGCCCTCCTCGATGGGAAAGAGATTAAAAAGCACGAACGAGCGTGAGATAACGCGTTCTCCCCCCGTTGGCGCTGTTTGCAAGACTCGTGATCGCTTGGAATACGCTCCGGAGGACTGGCCTTCTTTGTTGTGCCTTCACCCCTGGCTCAACGCAGAGGGGGGTCCACCATGATGGCTGCGAAGGATACGAAGGGTCGGGTCAGAAGCCGGGGCGGGGTGGAGGGGGCGAGTATATTGAATTTCCGAAAAGCGCGTCGGGTTTCAAGCGGATGATACCCGCGGCCTGCTTATGCCAAACGAGTTACCGAGGCTAGCGAGCGCGGGGGTCCATGATACGGGCCTCCGGGCTGTTTCGCGTGTGTTACGAAAACACGCCGGCGGCGGTTTTCGTTTCGCCCCGGCAGAATGAAGAGAGATTCGCGCCGGCGAATTTTCTCTGCTGTGAATCGCTCCGCGCGCCCGTGGCAAATTCGCGGTACAATGACAATAACGATTTCAACGACGAAGACGTCAGAAAATGAAAAAAAAAAAAAAAACGGAGAAAAGTGAAAACCGAATTTTTTTGTTTCTATTGTAGTTTTCTACACGCGAGATAGGGCACACTGTTTCTTCTTTTCGACGGAATAGCATAGATTTACGACGGCCAATCGTATCGATTGAACAATTTGTTCCCGTTGTTGGGAAATGAGTGGGAAGATTGGCGGTAATACGCTTTTCGCCTAGGTTCGCGTGTAGCCGTACAAGTGTCTGGGATCGTGTCGGGGTTTCAAATATCGGTACAGAGGGCAAATTGCCACCGGGCACCGGCTCTACGGATCCACGCTTTAAATTCAACGCCGTTCCTTGATATAATCGGGATAATCCACTCCCGAGTCACTTTGGGTTGCACGTTCTTGGAATTTTCTTTTTTCTTGTTCTTTTCTTTCTTCTCGTCGTTTCTCTGATAAAATGCGAGCCAGGAAAACGGACACGATTGCGATTGTTGTTTGGCTGACAAATTGCAAAGATAATGCACATGCTTGATACACAGGGGAAATTGATAATTTGAACCGATTACTTTGGTCCTTTTTTGAACATAATTTTACACAAATACAGCGAGTACGCGTTGAAAAATTAATAACGCCATATTTTGCCTCCCTTAAAACCAACTGATGAAACTTTTGTATCGAATTGTATTTTTCATTAGACGCATCATTGAAAGGTTATTTCAAGTGTGCGTGTTATGTGAATCACCCTGTATATCTATTCCTACTAATCAGTCAGGCCTTTTTTACGAAAGGAAGTACAAGTAATTGTCAATTTAAATACAAGAAAAAAAAACAATGCATAAAATTACTTTCGGTTAATAAAAAAAAAAAAAAAAAAAAAAAAAAAAAAAAAAAAAAAAAAAAAAAAAAAAAGAAAATTAGACCTCTTCATCTCTTTCTTCCCTTTCAACGAGAGTCAAATGAAGAAAAGATCGTAGAATTTTTAAACCGTTCTCAAGATCATTGAAATAACCTAGAACAATTTTTTAACATAATTCGAAGTAACTTTCGTTTCTTAAGATTCTTAACGCGATACGCCACGTTCGTGCAAAATTACGAGAAAGAGAGAGAGAGAATGAGAGAACGTTAAGATTATTCCCATGATCACGTGGAACGCGTAGCAAATCGTTAACTTGCTGCTTCCTCTGAATTATCGACGAAGCGAGAGGTTCCTCGAGGAACTGTCCTATGTTCCGGCGAAAATTCCGGTGGACTTTCTTATCTGCCGGACCGACTACGTAATGTAGGGCGGCCGCGAGAAATTATTGTCGCTGGTCCAATACGCTTTACATGTGCGACACGTTCGAAGGAAATCAAATGAGATTGAATAGTCGAACGAGCTGGATAAAACGGCCCACGCTTCAACGAGGCTCTGTTCGACCGAGACGAATCCAAATTCAATGCGGCGAGTCTAATCGAGATGATCACAGTTGACCCATTTTCTTCTTTCTCTTCTTTTCCCTCAATTTCCCCAATCCCCCCACTTCTCTGTTTTCGGTCAAATTTCTGCAAACGTGAAATTCTTTCTTCTCTATCTTTCTTCTTTTTATTCCCTCCGGATAACTAAATATTGCGTAACTAAACATTCTAGCCACTTGTCTTACTAATATTGATGATAATTGCATTTGCGGTACGACTTGTATATAGTTTCGATTCCAAAGGAAAAGCGACTCTGCGAAGTTTGAATTTAAATTTCGTTTGGTGCCGAAGAGAGCGAAAAATACCGAGCCAGAAATTATAAAAATTCTGTGAAAAAAACAAAAAAAAAAAAAAAAATAAATAAAACGATAATTGCGATAAAATTCAAGGAGGAAGGGTGAAACTTAATTTCTTCCAATTGAATATTACCAACAAGTACAAACATCTTTAAATAAAAGTAGCGTTTAGTGCTTTTCAGTATTTTGCATCTAAAGTAATGTTACAATTACAATGAGCAATGCTTGCCAAAAAGGATTGAAAGAAGAAGAAGAAGGAATCACAATGCAAGGGGTCATAGTTTGACAAGCCTCAACTCTTCGCTTTTCACATTCGGCAAACGTTGACGTTTATAAATCGCGCGAGCTCACTGTTGGCGCGTTTGTAATTACGCGGACGCGAATCAAGAGAGAGAGAGACCCGGTAGATTTTCCGCCGGCAAAGTTAAGCGAAGTTACGTCTAACGAGAGAGACTAGAAGAATAGATAAAAGCGAAATACACGAGAGTTAATTAACCGGCGTCTCTCGGCGGCGAGGCTTGCTTAATTCAATAGAAGTAATCCGTGTAACCAAAGATAACCGTGCTAAGCTGCGCAGAGCCGAGTAATTGGAAGCCCCGTACGAAATTAGCCCTGAAAATTTCGTTTAATTAAAGGCCACCGGCACGTACGCGCCACTACCCACCACGCACGCCGTATTAAGTTTGATTTAGACGGTTCTAATCGACTTTGCAGAGTTTAGACTCGCGCTGGAATAGTCTTTTTTTTTTTGTAAAATAGTATACGTCGTTCAATTCGTCGTAATTTCATCGATGTACACACAAAATCTGTATCTTCAATCATTTCTGAGGTATTTGACAAAATATTCGTTCCGCACCCCCAATTTTGAGGTTAATTTTAGTTTGGATTCATGCTAGAATGTTTTTTTTTTTGCAAAATGGTATACATCGTTAAATTTGTCGTTTAAAAAGGCAATAATTTCATCGATGTACACACAAAATCTGTATCTTTAATCATTTCCGAGGTATTTGACAAAATATTCGTTCCGCACCCCCAATTTTGAGGTTAGTTTAGATTCATGCTAGAATGGTTTTTTTTTTTCTTACAAAATGGTATATATCGTTAAATTTGCCGTTAAAGAAGATAATAATTTTATCGGTGTACACACAAAATCTGTAACTTTAATCATTTCCGAGGTATTCGACAAAATATTTGTTTCTCAATTTTGAGGTTAGTTTTAGTTTGGATTCATATTAGAATGTTTTTTTTTTTTTTTTTTTTTGCAAAATAGTGTACACTGTTAAATTCGTCGTTAAAAAAGGCAATAATTGTACACACAAAATCTGTATCTTCAATCATTTCTGAGGTATTTGACAAAATATTCGTTTTCCAATTTTGAGGTTAGTTTTAGACTGCCGATAGAAAGAAAAGAAATACTTGTCAAATATTTTTGCTCGAAAACTACATTTATGGCAGATTTCATCAAAATCGGTGATTGACACCTCGACTTTGTTCCCTTCTTGTTCCGTTTGAAATATCGAAAACTGTAAACATTTCGCAACAAGCACGTGACTTTGAGAGAGTCCGTTGTGAGAAACAAAATTCGTGTTCTGCCGATTTCAATTGCAAGTCATTGTCGCAAAAATTGTCGAACTATGTACTTATACGTACTTGTCGAAAGTAAGCGAGCAAATGGGAACGAGACTCCGTGGGTTAGAATTTTGCAATCGGGCCCACGTGCGCTGACGAATTTGTCGGCTGTGTAACGTTTCACGTTACACGAGGGGGATTGTGACTCACTCGGCGTGCCACTGAAACACGTGCACCCGAGAAGCAACAAGATGCCCTCGTGCAAATAAATGAACGAAAACACGCGTGTTTTTACAACGTGCTTTGTCTTTTAAACCCCCCCCCCCCCCCCCCACTCTCCTCTTTAAACCTTCCTTTTTCTCAGTTAGAGGTTCAACTTTTCCAATCAAACGAACGCACAGTCCCGAGACAAGTACGTATCGTTAGTTTTTAATCAACGAAACGAAACATTCTACTCCCGACGAGACACTTACCTCTCGTGATCGTGGCCGTAAGAAGGATTGATTCTACGCGCGTACAACGAGGCACCGCCCTCGGACATGTAACCGTCGCACAGGTCGGACAGAGTTCTACTACCGACGGTCATGCCACCGCGGAGAACCTCCCCGTCGCTTAGATAACCGGAGGCGACGTCGATGTCCGCGTAATCGTGACCGACATGATGATGAGACGAGGAATGAAGAATCGTGTACTGTCGCGCGGTCGTTCTGCTTGGCAGTGTTTGCAGGGCCCTCGCGCCCGGCGTGTAACCGCGGAGCAGAGGTTGCATAGGCTTCACTGTCATCTCCGCTTCGTCGTCGCCCATCGAACCGCCCCCGCAGGTTGAACTCTCCGACAGTACCTGTGAAATTGATCGACTCGATATCAACTTTGACTAGCAGTTAACCTTAAGTTGCACTCCAACTTATCTTACAACAGTCTCGACTTTTCTTTTTTTGCCTCCTTACAGGTGTCTAATATATTATTTATTTGAGAGTAAAAATTATACGTAAGAGTTTCTTGAACTCTCTCTGTAATCTGCGGCATTAGAAAATTTAAATTCTGTTCAGGAATGCTAGCTGGCAAACAGCAGCGGGTAATTTTCAATGTAATATTATAACATATTATTATATATATTATTATAATATTATTATTAATAATAATATATGTAATATTATAATATTATTATATAACATATATAATATATTATAATATTGTTATTAATTTATCTTCCTTTTCATCATTGGAATCGCTTCTTGCTTTTTTGATACAATAATGCCACTGTTGTCAGACTCTCAAAACAATCACTATTTAAATTAGAAAAAACTAGAGAATTCATCATCAAATCACTCGATTTCTATTATATATTTTTAACACGATGTATGACGACGGTATTATTTGATTTATTCAATCACAGAAACTGGATGCCGAACGTGTAATTTATATTTAATAGAATTAACAATATTTCTATCTTTCCTTCTGCTACATCAAATACACGTCTGAAGGATTGCGAAGAGTCAGCCGCGTATTTCTGGAGCAACAGTTGAACAATAACAACAGAGGAATTGTTTGAAACAAGGTAGCCAACCTTCTCCATTTGTTCGAAGGTCGTGTCAATTTTCCTATTGGGTATGGTCTTGATCTCGCTGCCGCTCTCGCTGCTGGGCCTGTAAATGACGCTGCTGTCGCTGGAGTTGCTCTGGCCGGTGCTGTTGGAGTTGCTGTGGGAGCTCTCGGACATGAGGTCGGAGATGCTCGGCATCGGCGACACCATCGCCACCGTGTTCGGGTCGAGCTTGCGATGCAGAGCGTCCGCTTTTAATTTCGTGGGCGTCGGCACGCCCGGCATGCTGTTTTCCTTCGGCGGTTTCGACGTGCCTTTCACCAACGCCGTGGGCTTTGGAATGCTCGAGCCCCCTGGGCTGCCAACGCCGCTCAAAGTCGAGCCCTGCAACGGGCTGTTGAGAAGCGAGGGCTGCTGCTTATTGCCGAAATTCACCAGGTTCGGAACCTGGCCGTGAGCAGGTTGCGCCGTCTGAGAATGATTCTCCTGAATGCTCGCCATTTTCACGTCCGTCGTCGACGTATCCGGGCTGTTGCGAGGGGAAACCGGCGGCGTTTGCTTCCCGTTCGTTCGCTCGGTCTCGTGCACCTCGCTCGCGGCTCTGGTTTTCACCGGCAAGCTCGTGTTGTTCTGCTGCTTCGAGGGACTTTCGTTCTCCACCGTCTCTCTTTCGTTCTCGCCGATCTCTCTCTGCGTCGACCTTTGCTCGCACAGGTTCGCCTGATTCATCGACAACGTGCGATCGATCCTGCAGCCGTTCTCGTTTACCACGACGATCTCCTCGTGGCCGGTCTGCTTGATCATCCCGTTCGCGTTCGCCAGCAACCCCTTCTGCGCCAGAACGTCCTTGTTCAACCCGTTCGGCGGGACTTTCGCGTTCTGCAGAGCGACTTTCGCCGGGTCGGCTATTTTGGCCGATGGCAGTTCCATCTTGGGTCGCGGCGATTGCCTCGACGACTCGACGTTCTTCAAGCTGGCGATGTTCTTCGCGTCCGGCGCGGCGATCTGCTTCGATGGCACCAACGCGGAGGTATTGGCAATCGGCTTCTGCAACTGGCTGCTGGCCGGTTGCTGCTTCAGCAGATCGTGCAGAATCGCGGGCTTCTTGTCCATGGCCGACAGTTTGGCGCCGACGCCGCCGATTTTACTGGTCGGCTTGACATCATCCAGTTGTGGCGGATTGTAGCCGAGCAACTTGTCACCGCCGCTACCCTTCGTACGCGCTATTTTGCTCTGAGCCTTGCTCTGCTCCTTCCTCGCCGTCTTCGGGCTCGCCTGTTTCGCCGGCTTGGCCGACTGAAGCTTCGACTTCAACGCCCGGCTCTTCGGCGACTCCACCTGCAGCTTGCTCTGGTCGCACAGCGACGTCGAGCTGTCCGAGTGCTCCGACCTCGCCGAGGAGAAGCCGGACGAGCTGGACGTGCGTTTCGACACGCCGGACGACGCTTTCCCGCGGTCCTGGCTCTTCTCCTTGTTGTTGAACAGCTTGAACTTGTCCAACACGGAGTTCTTGTTCTGCTGGACCGGCGCACTCGCGGCCGTGTACGGAGACGTCTGAGACGCAGCCCTTACGCCGCTCGGTTTTCCCACCGTTGACGCGCGTGGGCTGAAACGTTGAGTAATCGGTGGTTAGTCGTTAGTATCGATTAACACTCTATACGGAGTGTTTGGCAACAGATGTTAGTTTGTAAATTTTCTGTCATCCATTGTCGAACATGTGTCAGAGTTAATAGTTTTATTGGGTGTGCGAGATACTCGGAGAGTGTCTAGGTACTCGATGCAATTTTGTTCCGACGTTTCGAGTAATTTACGTTTCTCAGACAAATGATGAAACAGGTTACGATGTATGTTCACTCGAATGGTGAAGAATTTGAGAAAAAAATTAAATTAAATTGGCAAAACTTTGGCTAGAAAATATTCATGCGTGCCAGCAACATTTGTCAGATGCTTTGAGAAAGTATTTTTCATAATTGGAAATATTATTGGTCCAAGACGAGTTTACTATCAGAAAATATGGACTTTTTAGTATTTCTATACGAAAGTAAAGACAATATAATTACTTCGCTGTTTTATTATTTATTGCCAGAGACTATTGTCGGGAAATATGGATTTTTTTAGTATTTTCGTACAAAAAATAAAGACATCTGATATAATTACTTTATGATAAAATAATTGATTCATTATTTTGTTGTTTATTGTTAGAGACTACTATCGGGAATTATTTCATTATTTGTCGGGAAAATATGGACTTTTTAACATTTTTGTACAAAAATAAAGACATCGGATATAATTATTATTTCATTATTTATTGCAAGAAATTATTGGAAAGCGTGGAATTTACGCTACTATATCTAAGTAGTATGATTTTTAATATTTTTGTACAAAAATAAAGACATCCGATATAATTATTATTTTATTATTTATTGCCAGAGATAACTGGAAAGCGTGGACTTTACTTTTGTATAAAAAAGAACATGCAATTTACAATAATTACTTCATTGTTTCGTTACTCATTTATTGTTAAAATATAAATCATCGTCGTATGATTTTTAATATTTCTGTACAAAAACAAAGACATCGGATATAATTATTATTTCATTATTTATTGCCAGAGATTACTGGAAAGCATGAACTTTACTTTTGTATAAAAAAGAACATCCAATTTACAATAACTACTTCATTGTTTCGTCACTCATTTATTGTTAAAATATAAATCATCGTCGTACGATTTTTAATATTTCTGTACAAAAATAAAGACATCGGATATAATTATTATTTCATTATTTATTGCCAGAGATTACTGGAAAGCGTGGACTTTACTTTTCTATAAAAAAGAACATCCAATTTACAATAATTACTTCATTGTTTCGTCACTCATTTATTGTTAAAATATAAATCATCGTCGTATGATTTTTAATATTTCTGTACAAAAACAAAGACATCCGATATAATTGTCATTTCATTGTTTATTGCCAGAGATTACTGGAAAGCATGAACTTTACTTTTGTATAAAAAAGAACGTCCAATTTACAACAATTACTTCGTTGTTTCGTCACTCAATTAAAATATAAATCATCGTCCTGTCTGAGTAGTATGATTAAAAACAATCGATTACCTACCCGAGTATCTCACAATACGTACGCTGCGCCGTTAGGAAAAAAAAAAAAAAAAAAAAAAAAAGAAATAAAAATAAAAAAAATTCTCCATCACTCGCAATCGTTATTTGTAAGCGAAACTTACAATTCTTTACATTGAAAAATTGAAAATTTCTTTCTTTACAGTTTGAGATCAATATCCTCAACTTAAATGATAAACAAGTTTCAGTAACTGATCCTTTTCATAAAAATTCTTGAGATGAAAATTACTGTTACTTTCAAACCATTTAGAATATTTTAATACATGGTAAAGTTGCCAAAAAAAAAAAAAAATCTCTCGTATATCAATACAAAATTATATAATTCTCAATTGTCGAGAATGGTTATCATTTTTTTCTATTGTTAGTATTATTATTGTACAACTCATTATCGGAAATTGCTATCGTGCACATTACTTCTTTTACGTGATAAATTATTTACCTAGACAGAGTTTTCGTGTTTTTGCTTTTGCAAGAAAGCTAAGTGTCTGGCCGATACTTTTTCGATCCGTAGCCAATGCGTAAATAATAACGAAGACCGAGATGAAAAATACGCGTTGAATTCAAAAAGCATTTACACTTCTTAAGAAAAGCATTTCCACTGCATAAATCGCAAATGGGAGCAGCTCTATTCGCTGGTAGCACCGGAGGCATGCATTAATTAAACGTTCGATGCACACGAAATCTTTGGAACCGTGAAAAAGCTCGGTACCCCCATAGTTTCCCCGGCGTTCATTTCCTGAGGGCGCAGTGAATAAAGCTAATAGCAGATTCATTGCATGCCATACATTACAATTTTCCGCGGGACAGGCGGAATGCTCCACGCTTTATGAACATTCATTTTTCGAACCAGCATCGATTCCGTTCACGAGCTTCGAAACTCTGTTTTAGATTTCCATAGTTATCGTTCATTTTTAGGTTAGTTTCCTTTTCCTTTAGATCATAGTTCCTTTCTTTTAGGTTGGTGTCTCTTTTTCTTCTTCAAAGATAAAAAGTACCCGCTATAACCGAAAATTAACAAATAAACAACAAATAAATAATAAACAATTTGACAAATAAATAAGGCCGAAAATTATTCGCATCTCTCTTGGACGAATTGTATCTTCTTTAGATTAGTTTCTCTCTTTTTAGGTTAATTTCCTTTTTTTTTAGATTAGTTTCCTTTTTCTTTAGATCATAGTTCCTTTCTTTTAGATTGGTGTCTCTTTTTCTTCTTCAAAGATAAAAAGTACTCGCTATAACCGAAAATTAACAAATAAACAACAAATAAATAATAAACAATTTAACAAATAAATAAGGCCGAAAATTATTCGCATCTCTCTTGGACGAATTGTATCTTCTTTAGATTAGTTTCTCTCTTTTTAGGTCAATTTCCTTTTTTTTTAGATTAGTTTCCTTTTTCTTTAGATCATAGTTTCTTTCTTTTCGGTTAGTTTCTCTTTTTCTTCTCCAAAGATAAAAAGTACCCGCTATTAAACCGAAAATTAGCAAATAAACAATAAGTAAATAATAAATAAACAGTTTGACAAATAAATGAACAAATAAGGCCGAAAATTATTTGCATCTCTCTTAGACGAATTGTATCTTTTTTAGGTTAGTTTCTCTCTTTTTAGGTTAATTTCCTTTTTTTTTAGATTAGTTTCCTTTTTCTTTATATCATAGTTTCTTTCTTTTCGGTTAGTTTCTCTTTTCTTCAAAGATAAAAAGTACCTGCTACTAAACCGAAAATTAACAAATAAACAACAAATAAATAATAAATAAATAGTTTGACAAATAAATGAATAAATAAGGCCGAAAATTATTTGCATCTCTCTTAGACGAATTGTATCATTTTTAGGTTAGTTTCTTTTTTTTTAGGTTAATTTCCTTTTTTTTTAGGTTAGTTTCCTTTTTCTTTAGATCATAGTTTCTTTCTTTTCGGTTAGTTTCTCTTTTCTTCAAAGATAAAAAGTACCCGTTATTAAACCGAAAATTAACAAATAAACAACAAATAGATAATAAACAATTTGACAAATAAATAAGGCCGAAAATTATTCGCATCTCTCTTGGACGAATTGTATCCTTTTTAGGTTAGTTTCTCTCTTTTTAGGTTAGTTTTCTTTTTTTTAGGTTATTTTCCCTTTCTCTTTAGATCAGTTTCTCTCTTTTTGTTAGCTTAATTTCCTTTTTTCTATATTAGTTTCTTCTAGGTTAGTTCAAAGATAAAAAAAAAACATGTTTTTCGATCTTTTCATCTTTGTCCCGTAAGGGAATTACAAATAGGGCCACAGAAATTTATTTATTCGCGTCTCTCCTGAACGAATTGTACAAAAGTTACTCGTGTCACTTTGTGTTTTGTACTTTCGGCAGGTTTTATTCGCTTTATGGCGCACACGCGAAACGTCCCGACTATGAATATTAAATTTGTTACGTGGAAGTACTTCCCGTGCAGCGTGCTGCACGCGCGCCCCGTGCGAATTTGATTTTTACAATCGCGATGAATCGTTTAATTTTTCAACGAGAAACGTCGCGACAGTTTACCTTTCAACTTTTACTTGTACATATTGAAAGCCATCAACGAGAACGTTGCGACATCAGAGAGAAAGAGAGAGAGAGAGAGAGAGAGAGAGAGAGAGAGAGAGAAAAGGGCCTCGAAAGGAAGGAAAGTCAAAAATGAATTTTTCCACCGGAGAGCGTTGAATTCGAAGTTTTGAAATATTGATTTTTCTTTTCTATTTTTTTTTTCTTTTTTCTTTTAAACGGTTCTTTTAATGATGAAAGTTGATCCCACGAGGCATTCCGAAATAGCCCGAGCTTCGCGAATATTAAGAAATATGACGCAAACAAGCTGCTACGGAATAAATTTGATAAATATTAAGTTACGGAATTAAATGGGAAGTGTAACGAATGCCAACGATGATTTACGCCGACGAACGGCGGTAAAAATAGCTGTTGAACAAATAGGCATTAGGGCAAGATTTATAACCGCGACAACAGAAAAATTATAACTGGGCAGCGATCATTTTAAAACTTGCCTCGGGACCCATCAACCACGAAATTACGGTCTTGCCGGTCTCGAAGCATTAAACCAGGCCGAATCGTTATTCAATTTTATCGAAATATGCGGCAACGTTCGCGTAAAATTCTGAAAAAAATCATTTCTTTCAAAATACAAGGATTAATTGTATCTGAAAAATTTGTGAAATTTGGAATCTAGCTAGAGTCTAGGAACTATAGAAGGAAGTCGAAGTAAACGAGAAAAAGTGAATTTTACTGAAATATGCATCGAATTGTACTCTTGTCACATAAAGCTCTAAATATTTCGAAATCCCAAGACTTTCGTGAAATTTCGACGTTATAACAATTGTTAGAGTAATTCTAATAAGTCTTCGACCAAGTATGATAATTGTCAGAGTGGTTCTATATATTATAAAAAATTCATGGAAATCTGAAATCTAGAATCTAGAATCTAGAAACTATAGGAATAAACGAGGGAAAAATCAATTTTACTAAAATATGCATTCGATATGAATTGCACTCTCACGTTCGTATAAAACTTTCAAAATGATATGCCAAGTGACGTGCACTTGATATTTTCAAACTTTTAGGATATTCGCAAAATTTCGTCGTTTCTCATATTATTTTTCAACCGAAACCTTTGACAAGTGTTAGAGCAACTCTGTGTCAAAAAAAAAAAATTCATGAAAATTTGAGTGTGAAATCCGAAAGCTGTAGAACGTCGTGGCAAACGAGAGTAGGTCATTGATCGGAGAAAAGGGGGCAACGATCATTGTTTCAACGAAGCAAAAATGTTGAATCGAAGTTCGTGGTTAATTAACGACATTTCTTTTTTTAGAGAAGCCGGTGGCCTTCCCCAGTTTGCGGCCCGGAGAAATTCGGTTTCACCGGCAAACTTCGCCGGTAGTTCGGTCAACTGGCGGTTTAACTAGATATCGTGGATACACACACGTATGTACACGTGCACGCAACAACGAATAAAGCGGAGTCGGTGCGGCCTGCAGATGAACAAGTAACTACACGCATCTGGTTATAGGTCGGGCTAATTCGAATTGAAACATTAACTGGAAGATCGAGAATATACGGAAACTCGATCCTATCTGTATGGAAAATTGAATACAGTGAATTGAATCTGGCTATTCGATAGCCTAGTTCTGGTAGCTAGGAATTATAAATTGCCTGATCATTGATTAAATTCCTTCAAAATACACACACACACAGACACACACATATATGTAGTAAATACTTTAAAAGTAATATTTTATAGTAATTAAATACCTGTTCTTCAAAAAAAAAAAAATATATATATATACATATATGTGTGTGTGTAGTAAATACTTAAAAAGTAATATTTTGTAGTAATTAAATACCTATTTTTCAAAAAAAAAAATATATATATATATGTAGTAAATACTTTAAAAGTAATATTTTATAGTAATTAGATACCTGTTCTTAAAAAAAATATATATATATATGTGTGTAGTAAATACTTTAAAAGTAATATTTTATAGTAATTAAATTTAATTTTAAAATTAATATTTTATAGTAATTAAATACCTGTTATTCAATATATATGTAGTGAATACTTTAAAAGTAATATTTTATAGTAATTAAATACCTGTTCTTCAAAAAAAAGAATATATATATATGTAGTGAATACTTTAAAAGTAATATTTTATAGTAATTAAATACCTGTTTATCAAATATATATATATATATATATATATATATATATATATATATATATATATATATATATATATATACGTATTAAATACTTTAAAAGTAATATTTTATAGGAATTAAATTTAATTTTAAAATTAATATTTTATAGTAATTAAATACCTGTTTTAAAAAAATATATATATATGTATATAGTAAATACTTTAAAAGTAACACTTTTATAGGAAATACTTTAAATAAACACTTCAAAAATTGAAGTATCGTTTTTCAATCAGGAGAAACCGATAAGTCGACAAACTCGAGTGCAATACCCTGATGTTTCTATTTCGAAAGGAAGTTTCGGTGGCAGTGTTGAACTTGTCGATCAAGGAGCAGAATTTACGTCGACGTGTAAAATTTCGCCCAAACAATTCATCAAATGGAACAATTGATCAGGCTTCGAATGTAATTAATGCGTGATTTATTTGCGAGTGCAAAACAAGGCGTAGCCGGAGGCTATCTGTATGCAAACGCGGCTTTCAGTAGCACAGTTTCCTACAGATCGATATACAATATGGAATAACCAGATGCTTCTGCATTTTCCTTTCTAATGTTGCCACTGCTCTTTTCTTCTTTCTTTCTTTTTTTTTTTTTTCCTCTGAAAAGTGACGATCGAGTTAATTTAATCGCATCGAACAAAATAAATTTATACCATTCCATATTGTTTCGACGATCACTTCGTCACCTCTGACGATAAATTATTTTTAATAAGTTACAATTTTTTTTTTTTTTTTTTTTTGCTTCGAATTACACCAATGAAATTGCAGAATGAAAAATTGTCGATAATTTGAAGTGTGACTTCGTGAATAATGATCGTATAATAATACACTTGATCTGATAATTTTGTAGAATGGGACTTCTACTTTGACACTCGCGAGTTCGTTTCAAAAATGATTTTGCATCATACTATGGAATTCTTGCTTGGAAATTATGAATATTCAAAATCATTTTCGTGTGTAAAGATGTTAAAAAAATTTCTTTCGCAGCTAGATCTACTTTATCATTTTGAAGATCGAAGTTTCCTCTTTTATAACGACGTCTTGAAACTTGTATAATTCTTTACTGTCGAACGTAGAATATTAAAATCAAACAACAAAAATTCCCTAAGAAATCCCTAAGAATTCTAACTCCAACGTCATATAAAGTTGCGAAGAGAAAACTCCAATCTTTGAAACCATAACAGATCTAATCACGAAAAGAGTCTTTTTTTTATTATTATTTTTAGAGACATTAGAATATCTAGTATTTTCTTTAAAACTTTCTCATTCAATGCACGATGCAAAATCATCAAAGTAAAATCTTCACGCTTTAAAACCAAGTGGATCTTGTTTTACGAAGTTACGTCAGTTTCAATTATCGAACATTCTTCATTGTCACTGGCTACAATTATGCTCCTCGCTACGTATTCCAAAGTGTGACACACTGTGACATACTTTCGTTAAAAAATACATCCATAGTCGAAACTACTCGAGAGTACTACATTAGGCGTCAAAAAAAAAAAAAAAAAAAAAAAATTTCACGAAAAAAAAACGAATTAGAGTGTCCATTCTGCTGAAAAATTTTTTTATAATCAAGAGTCTGGTTCCAATTATTAATACCTTGGAAATGTAGTTTAATCACTCTTTAAACTTTTTAATAATGCCTTGCTGTATTTCACTCGTAAACTCGATACGAGCGACGATGGGAATGTATTTATTAAATCACGAACGAACGAGGATAATTGCCACACTCGCGCGTCCGAAGGACACAATGAGAGAGCGCTAAGTTTTTAATATCGACTGGTCGATGGAAAAAATTAATCGAAAAATGTACGTCCGTCGCGATTTTCGAATATTTCCAACGTGATCAACAACCGTGATTGTTTGCCGAACGTTCCAACATTTCGCATCGCCAACCGGCAAATTAGAGAGATCGACGCTATGATATGTAATCGAAAATTATTGCCTTTAATCAAAAAGATTTACCTTTGCGTCTACCTTCGCCAACTCGTTGGAGCTGTACTCTGCCACAGCCTCCCTCGCCCTCTGGTGGCCTGAAACAAACAACGCGTGATTTGAGTCTCAATAACTGAGAGTCTCAAATTTCCACTCGACTGTCTCAGGGAAAATTATTTGAATCTAGCTAAAAACTCTTGTTTGTAACTTGCTGATATAATTATATAACGAACGTGTGCACTTGGTGTTGTATAACGATGTGTAACAGTGTATTATCTGAACAGACGCCTAGAGCGAAAATTATAATATAAGAACGATGTGAGAAGAGGAAAAGAATTCCAGAAAGAAGAAATTTCCCGAAGACAGTCACAAATGAGTCAATTGACACTCAACAATTCACATAAATTAGACTTCTTGTTGCTTCCTACGAAAGTTGAAAAGATGGCGGACGATGTTATTTTTCCAGAGATCGGAACTATTTAGGTATCATAGACTATTGTATGTTATACTTGTTCTAGCAAATTTGCGATGCACGGGTTGATCATTGCTTTAAATTTAAACGATATTGGATGTAGTTAGTATCAGTAAAATATATAATATTTATAATTATTTTATATTATATATATATTTTATATTATTATATATATATTATTTAATGTTAATATATATAATTATTTTATACATATGAAATTTATAATATACATAATACATAACATATAATACATATCAACAAAAATCCGTGTGTTGTACAAATACCATCTGAATTATTATTTCCAATGCTATGTATCATTTGATTTTATATTATTTGTATTATTATATATTATTATTTATATTATTATATATATATTTATTTTTATTATATATATTTTATATTATTACGTATATTATTTTATATTAATATATATAATTATTTTATACATATTATGAAATTTATAATATACATAATACATAACATATAATACATATCAACAATATTTCGTGTGTTGTACAAATACCATCCGAATGATTATTTCCAATGCTATGTATCATTTGATTTTATATTATTTATATTATTATATATTATTATTTATATTATATATATTTATTTATTTTTATTATATATATATTTTATATTATTATGTATATATTATTTTACACATAATTAGTTTGTACATATTTTGAAATTTATAATATACATAGCATATAATACATATCAACAAAATTTCCTGTGTTGTACAAATACCATCTGAATGATTATTTCCAATGTTATGTATCATTTGGTTTTATATTATTTATATTATTATATATTATCATTATATATATTATTATTTATATATATATATTTATTTTTATTATATATATATATTTTTATATCATTATGTATATATTATTTTACATTAATATACATAATTATTTTACTACATATTATGAAATTTTTATAATATACATAATAAACAACATATAATACATATCAACAAAATTTCGTGCATTGTACAAATACCATCTGAATGATTATTTCCAATGCTACGTGTCATCTGATTTGAAGTGATGCTTCGTAAATAAATCGCTAAATAATTATTGGTAGATGGTACAAAGAAAGTTTGTCGAGGGTTAAATAAATTAATCTGATGACGACGCTAGGTTTCAGTTTTTGAAATGAACCAACAAATCGAGTTTCATTGGTCAAAGTATAATGTCGTTCGATTTCTCGTTTACTTACAAACAAAATTCCATATTCTACCACTCAGTGGAGAATTGTTGTGCATGCTACGTGAACAGAAATTTTCTAATTAGTAGTACCTGTACTGGGCGCGTATCCGTTGTATAATTGAGAGACGAGACTTTGCTGGACAGCGTCGATTACTTCTTTCGGTGGTCTCAAATTGCCGAAAGTAGTTGGATCACCTAGAAACATACGAAACATGCCGATGCACTGCGAATCACGACGTTTTTCATTTGTTAGGATTCTAATTTTGTGTCTGTGGGATTCTAACTTGCACAACGAAGTATATTAAATCTCGAAATCGGGTCCAAGCAAACACATTCAAGGATAGAACGATCAAACTTCCTCGCAATTGCTTTGAAAATCCTGCTAAGTGCATTTCCGTTCAAATTAATATCGATCTCTGTTTGGACAGAAGCACGATCGTCTAAATCTATTTATTTGAATTTAAAATTAAATTACAACAGAGTAGAATATTTTCGTACGTATTAAAGCCCAGGTGCTCGTAACGTTAAAGACTCTGAATAATCAAGTAACACCGACGGTTGCGCGCTAATTTTCATCCTGTGAACGACATTATTCTGTCGTACTGAAAGATTAATCCAGATCTTGAGGGCATAATCACGTTGAAGGAAAATGTGTCTCTGTCTTCATTATAATGTCTAGTTTGACAAAGGGACTCGCATTTGCGATTAATACGATTTTTAACTGAATTCTCCAAGTTGTTTCTCGGTATTTCGACGAGCAGTTGAAGTTTACAGTTTTAAATTTAGCTCTTTATGAAAACCGCGTTATCAACCGTATTATCAATCTCTAATTTTAATAAATTTCTATATATTCGATGCTGTACGAGTCACAGACTTTCAAATATTTTTTTTTCTTTTTTTTTCAGCCGGGAAAAAGGATATATAATACAATTTGCAACGAACATGAACGTGAAACATCTACAAAGCATATTCTTTTAATTATACTGCTCGAAGCATACTAATTAGAACTCTCGTTCCCAATTAAAACAATTTTATGTGAAAAAAATCTCTGGTATTGTCGCTAAATATTCCAGAAAAATTTGAAATGCAATTCCTCGTAATATATTCTTTTTCCACGTAGAAGGGGAGAAAACGAGACGTCAAACGTAAAAACAAAGTCAATTGTGTTTGGATTTCTCTGGAAAATATGCATTTACAAATGTGGACGAAACAAAACGTTTTAAAATACTTTGGGACAAACAAAGATCGCTATCAGTTGTAATTATATATAATTTTCTATGAGGTGGTACAATGAAATAATAAAATATTGAATATTGTAATATAATGAAATGTTATTTGGATGAAAGCAACTAGAGTACTCTGTCGTTTTATTACACATTATTTCAATTTCGCACAGCAGATTTCCTTGGCTAAATAATTAAGCATAAAAAATAATAAAAAATAATAAAAATATAATAATAAAAAGTACAAAATAATAAAAATATAATAATAAAAAATGCAAAATAATAAAAATATAATAACAAAAAGTACAAAAAAATAAAAATATAATAACAAAAAATACAAAATAATAAAAATATAACAATAAGAAGTACAAAATAATAATAAAAATATAATAATAAAATAAAAAATAATAAAAATATAATAATAAAATAAAAAATAATAATAAAAGATAATACTAAAAATATAATAAAAAAAAATTAAAAAATAAAAGTGACAAGAAATAATTAAGCACACGAGTGCTAACATTCTCGAAATTAAAAATATAATAATAAAAAGTACAAAATAATAAAAATATATAATAAAAAATACAAAATAATAAAAAGTACAAAACAATAAAAATATAGTAATAAAAAGTACAAAATAATAAAAAGTATGATAATAAAAGGTACAAAATAATAAAAATATAATAATAAAAAAATTAAAAAGTAAAAGTGACAAGAAATAATTAAGCACGCGAGTGCTAACGTTCTCGAAACGAAATGGAAGAACGATGGAAATATCTCACCGATAGACAACGAGATCATGGACTTGGCAGGATTAGGCTCGACCACGAGGCTCTCCACGATCGATCTTATGGGGTTGTGCGTGTTCCTCGCGATGTCAGACGCCCGAACGTTCCATTGGCCGCGACGTACAGGTACCGACATGCCGAGCTTGAAAATTTCAACGCTACACCACAAATTCCCGCAGAATTAGATCCCTCGAACACCTCACGATATTCACCACGTCACGTCGTTTTTTTTTATTAAATTAACAATTGACAATGAGTCGTCAGACGTCCGCACGATGAATTTCAATCGGTTTTCTTATCCTATTTTCTTAGAAGGGATCGAACGAAGATCATCGTTGGCGAAACGTTCCATCACTGATTGCGAGAGGAGACTCAGTTCTCCGAGTCTGCCAATAATCGAAATGTTCCACTGTTCCACGAACGAACCGGTCAGATCGGTCTGCTAGAGTCCACACCTTCCTTCATAATTAATTTAAATGGGTTCTCTGTTTACGCAGACTTCTCTTACAGCTATAGTCATTATTACTACGCGAATGCTTTATGCTAGATCTCCTATCTTTATCGGTGCAACCGATCGACAAGCGATACCAGTTAATCTGCGCATAGATCGAAATAGTCGAGATAGCTTTTGAGTAGCTTTTTTATTTGAAATTTTTATTCGAACACGTCCAGGTGGAACTTTTTTTCGAAAAAGAATTCTTACGTTGCAAAGGACGAGAACGGATTAATAAATGAAAGTTTCACACATTTAAAAGGAAAAATGAAATGAAAATGAAAATTTTTCTGCCGAGAAGGGGGGGGGGGAGAGAGATGGTTTGTTCGTCGATATTAAAAATGTTCTCGATATTTGCAGCAAATACCAGGCACGAAAATGGATTTTTGATTAAATTTTCTGAAATAACTTTTATCACAAAATCCACTGTTCCACTGTTCAAAAATGTTTCAAACTGTGACACTTCTTTCGACAAAAATTCCACTCAAGAGGACAGACATTTTGTTTACACTAGATGTACAATAAAATATAATTGTTTTTAAATTAACGAAAACAACCTGTCAATTTCGATCCTTGGTTCTACGAAGGTTGAACTTTCCCTTATCCGTTATCCAATCTGTTATCTGCTATCCAAGAATTTCCACTGTTGGAAATACCTAACTTAAATCGCAGAAATTTTCAATTGCCCAGTCCGATTTCCAGAAAAACTACGTCAAATAGAACAAATAGAGAGAAAGCAGACACAATAGGATAAGAACAACGTCGCAATCATAATATAAAATAAATATAAAATAAATATAAAATATAATATAAAATATAATATAAAATATAATATAAAATATAATATAAAATATAATATAAAATAAATAACCATAAAATAGTTTTTAGGATAAGGTAAAAAATATAATAATATAATAATAATATAATAATATGATAAATATAAGATATAATATAAAATAAATAATCATAAAATAGTTTTTAGGATAAGGTAAAAAATATAATAATATAATAATAATATAATAATATGATAAATATAAAATATAATATAAAATAAATAATCATAAAATAGTTTTTAGGATAAGGTAAAAAATATAATAATATAATAATAATATAATAATATGATAAATATAAAATATAATATAAAATAAATAATCATAAAATAGTTTTTAGGATAAGGTAAAAAATATAATAATATAATAATAATATAATAATATATAATAATATAATAAATATAATATAATAAATAATAAATATAATAAATCTAATAAAATAATATAATAAATATAAATTATAATATAAAATAAATTATCATAAAATAGTTTTTAGGATAAGGTAATAAATATAATAATATAATAATAATATAATAAATATAAAATATGATATAAAATAAATAATCATAAAATTATTTTTTAGGATAAGGTAATAAATATAATAATATAATAAATATAAAATATAGAATATAATATAATAAGTATAAAATAAATAATTATAAAATTTTTAGGATTAATCATAAAGTTTTTAGGATAGTCAGTTTTTAGGATAAGAACAACGTCGCAATCATAATATAAAATAAATATAAAATATAATATAAAATAAATAATCATAAAACAGTTTTCATTATATTATCGTCGATAGCCAGATTTCGACGTACATGTTAGAAGGCAAGTTCAATAATGGGAAATGATTTACAGAATTGACACTGATCTCAAGGTAACAAAGGAGCTCGGAGGCTGGAGGACGAACGAACCGGTCGGATTGGTCGGCTAGTCTCCACACCTTCTTTCATAGATTATTCAATGCTAAAAATTAAAATTCCTTCGCTTGCGTAGATTCGACGAAGCTGATCATTTTCTCCCGTCGTGATCTCGTTGTCACGCGCCGACAAATCGAGACGTCAGTCGTTGTTGCGTCTGCTTCTCAAGCCTCGCGTCGCGAACAGATAATATTTCTCCTCTGCACAACTCTTTTGCATCACTTATCTTTTTTTCTTCCCACCTGCGCGGTGATGTAATCCGCGGTGATTCCGATGAATATGCATAACAGTACATTTTGCGCAGATCATACTTGTGATCGTGTCTTGTTTGTTACATTTATTTCTTCCTGTCCTTTCGACTGTTCGTACAGGATGTGTAAAATGAATTCCAAAGTCAAGGTGAAGGTTTCTTTAACATCCACAGATGATCGCGACATTTATACTTTTCGTACACTTTGTATGTATTACATATGGTGTATTACGTTGCGCTTGTAATTATTAACAAAGGAATATTTCACTCGAAGAATATTTCATTTTTACCAAGCACATTTTATTAACACGAAATATCTTATGAACAACGTAATTTTAACAAGATCGTTGACATTTTGCAAAATTGTTCGAAATTTTAAAATAAAAAGTAAATGATTTAAAAAAATAAAAAGTGAAAATTTTTAATTTTACAAAATTGTTCGAAATTTTTTTTATTTGAATTCTCGATTCTCAACTAAAATTTCATTTCAGAAGTAACGACTTTAATGAAATTGGAGTACCAGTGCAATAATTTTAACACGTCCGACAATGTCAAAATGATCTTCGTAAAAGTTTCTAAGGAATATAATTGTTTTCGCAATCATTCAAAACAGTTTCTAATTATTAATCAACAGAGAGATTAATTTTAATTTTGTTCAAAAACGTCACACACGCAAGATGGTCAACTCTGTCTTCAATCTTATTTTTTTAATTATCGTCCTGCAAAATGCAAACAACGATTACCTATGTGTCCTTTCTCCTGAAAGCAAACTCGGAAAGAATGTCGTGATTCTGGTTTTCCTGCAACCTCAAACTTCCTCGACGAATGGACATTGTACCAAAATTAATATTCGCAGTTTCATCGCTGAAACATTTTATGTCGAGTTGAGACTTGGAAGTGATCGTAGATCATTTTTACAAAGTACAGTAATAACAACAATATTAACTGTAACATTAAATGTAAAAATATTAACTGTAACATTAAATGTAAAAATATTAACTGTAACATTAAATGTAAAAATATTAACTGTAACATTAAATAGTAATAACAGCAATATTAATTGTAACAGTAAAAATAAACTGAGTCATTAAGAATTTCTCTGAATTTGAAAATTTCAACTTTGCACAAGTATAAAAAAAAATACAAATAAATAAATGAAATATAAATTTTGGTATTTTCAAGAGTCTGGAACATTTTACGTCGAGTCGAGTCTTGGAAGTGGCAACACGTGACCAGGGATTATTTTTTTAAAAAAAGTATCATAATAGAGTAACAATAACAACAGTATAACAATAAAAATAAAATACACTAAAAATTTTTCAAATTTTCTATTTCTCTGAATTCGAAAGTCTCTGAATTTAAAATGCATTAAAAATTTTTCAAATTTTCTATTTCTCTGAATTCGAAAGTTTCAACTCTACAAGTTTAAAAAAAAACTATAAATAAACATATAAAATATAAATTTTGGTATTTTCAAGATTCTGAAATATTTGACATCGAGTCGAGACTTGAAAGTGATAACATGTGATCAGGGATTATTTTTTAAAAAACAGTATCACAATCGAGTAATAAAAACAACAGTGTAACAATGAAAATAAAATACACCGAAGCATTAAGAATTTTTCAAATTTTCAATTTCTCTGAAGTCGAAAGTTTCAACGTTACAAGTATAAAAAAAAAATACAAATAAATATATAAAATATAGTTTTGGTATTTTCAAGAGTCTGAAACATATGACATTGAATTGAGACTTGGAAGTGATAACACGTGATCAGGGATTATTTTTTAAAAAACAGTATCACAATTGAGTAATAAAAACAACAGTGTAACAATAAAAGTAAAATACACCGAAGCATTAAGAATTTTTCAAATTTTCAATTTCTCTGAAGTCGAAAGTTTCAACGTTACAAGTATAAAAAAAAAAATACAAATAAATATATAAAATATAGTTTTGGTATTTTCAAGCGTCTGAAACATATGACATCGAGTCGAGACTTGGAGGTGGTAGCACGTGTATCAGATCAAGGCCGCCATCGTTTTGAGACTCGTCTTCTCCAACTATGATAAATATATTAGTCCCGCGGGGATTCTCTAGCGCTATCTATCGACAGCGGATACTTCTCTCGTCCACTTTGGCGAAATGGCGTAATTTATACGCGCCACACGGTCCCGTATCTTTCGCGCTTTCGCGTTCTGTCAATGACTACGTTGCACGCTTGTAAATAATTCAAGAGGTTCGTTAATGCATGCAAACGCATGCTAATAGACTTGATAAAATGTATTTAATCACATCGCAAGCACGTGTAAATATCCTGCAAAGAGCTCGAACATTACGTTTGAGAATCCTGCGCAAACAAACCGTTCGCCCCCGTTTACTTTAATTTCGAACGGATTTTCGCTTTCCTTTTACACTCTTCTTGCCGAAAATATTCCCATTTAGTCGTTCCCGCAGTAACTGAGCGATTGTTATAAACAGAGCTCGAATTTCCACAATCCAGATGTAAATAAATTAACTCATTCGCGGCCTCGCTTGTGTTAAACTTGTATCACTTGTACCTAAAAATTTCGCGTTGTAGTGCTAAATTTGAATTTCGTCTATCATTTAAAATTAAATAGATAAATAATTTATTAATTGCAAGAATTAAATAATTAAATTTCGAGTTTAATGTGAAATTTGAATTTTGTCTATTATTTAAAATTTAAATAAAAAATAATTTATTAATTGCAGAAATTAAATAATTAAATTTCAAATTTAAATTTTTTCTATCATTAAAAATTAAATAATTAAATAATTTATTAACTGCAGAAATAAATTTCGAATTTAATGCTAAATTTGAACTTTGTCTATTATTTAAAATTAAATAAAAAATAATTTATTAGTTGCAGAAATTAAATAATTAAATTTCAAATTTAAATTTTGTCTATCGTTAAAAATTAAATAATTAAATAATTTATTAACTGCAGAAATAAATTTCGAATTTAATGCTAAATTTGAATTTCGTTTGTTATTTAATGAAACGGAAACTTGGGAGTAGAGCGTAAACTAACGTTAATTTATCAACAAGACGAACGAAAGTTTTCACCGATTTATTGAAGTTTCTCGCCACTCGCGAGGCGAAAATCACCCCAAGGATTATCGAGCCTCCCTCGTTCGCCTATTCTTAAATGAAATGCAAACCGCATGGACGTCGTCGTTTGCTTTACACGTCGGATTGAATTCAACCAAGAGTTGGACATTTTCGGAGACAAATGCATATATGTAGAGCCCGACTGAAAAAGGAGTCTAGTTTTCACACTTTTCCGCCGGAGCGGCGGAAACTCGTTGTTTGAACTGGCGGATTCGTTCCGAGCGCTCGAACGCGAACGTTATTAAACTTGCTCGATCGACGAGACGTAAAGATCTGATTTTTCAGGGGAAACGTCTGAAATCGGCGCGACTCGCGAGAGAATTGGTTTCTGCGAGGATATTCTTATTCGAATTAATTCTTTTATTTTCATTCGAAAATGGCGCAAGTCGCTTAAATAGAGATATTTGAGGGTTTGCCTTTTCTCAGTATAGATAATTTCAATTGTAACGAACGACGTTAACGAATCGCCATCCTTCATTACTGTAACTATGCTTAAACTGTGTTTTGGCTTTCTCTGAAATTTTGAACTAATATAAATTAAATTAAAGTAAGAAATTTTAAACTAATATAAATTAAATTTAAGTAAGAAATTTTAAACTAATATAAATTAAATTTAAGTAAGAAATTTTAAACTAATATAAATTAAACTAAAGTAAGCAATTTTAAACTAATATAAATTAAATTTAAGTAACTAATAATTTAAGTAAATCTTAAATTAAATTTAAGTAACTAATAATTTAAGTAACTAATAATTTAAGCAAATAATAATTTAAGTAACTAGTAATTTAAGTAACTAATAATTAAATTAAGTTTAAGTAACTAATAATCTTAAATTAAATTTATTGGAATGTGCAATAACAGCAGATGGGATAAGTCCGGGATAGTTCGAGAGACATCAAATTTCAATCTTCAAAAAAAGTCATAATTTGTTCGTTTACAATATTTTCTTTATTTTCTGTAGGTTAACACACACAATGAACTGAAAAAAAATCCATTGATTATATTTCCAAATAAAGTAATAAAAAATTGAAGAAACATGTGTTTGTGAAAGTTATTCTTGTTTTATATCGCTCTTTCTGACCACCCTGTACTTCGAACAGGCGATTGTGAAAGCTTTGTTCAACAAATTTTTGTTCAGTAGAGACTGTGTGTCCAATTTCTTATTCCTTCTGTCCAGATATTAGATTTTTTCATCGTGCATATTGTTACAAATTTTCCGTAACTCTCTATTATGTCCACTCATCGTTTCACGATTTCATTTTCGCTACCGGAGATCTTCGCCAGGTATATAGGTCCGCGATTTGTCGCGAGGGAGAAAAAAAATATGTCCTTTGTCGGTGAAGGTGTCAGAACAATTATCAGTCACGGATGATAATACATTCTGCTTCGCAGTGTCGGCGACAATCGACACGGCGATCAACAGCACGGTTCTTCACGCACAATAATTCACCCACGGAAACATGACGCGCGAATAACGGAACATCTATTACAATTCACATACAGCTAGTGGGTTCGTAAGTCTGTAATCGGTGTTCGATGAAAATGAATGATAATGGGCACGATTTACTCGTGACACACGCCTGTACTTGATGTGATTGTCGCTTCGATGTGAAAAGAAGCAAAAAAAAATAAAAAAATAAAAATAAAAATAAAAAAATAAAAGAATAAAAAAGAATAATTGAAAAAAAAACCACATTATGGTCGTGTGCCTCGTCGAGCTGAAAAAGAAAACATATGCTAATAGGCAGGTCTCGAAAATGGAATAGACGGCTCCGCGTGTCTATAGATACAGGAAATCTCGTCTATGTTTGTCCGCCATCGATCGTATTTGCATTTTGACCAAAAAGAGAGAGAGAGAGAGAAAGATCAGTGGCCAATTGTTCTTGGACCAAGGCGGCTTTCGTTCAAGGCGAAATGGTTTCTTAGTGAAAACGTTCTCTCTCTGATCGTCGTGAATTTCGATTTCGCTGATGTCGATGACGACGATGACGCGAACAAAGGTGAAACGTTCCTTTGATATCGGGTAAGAGATTCGTAGTAAGAGATTCTTTCGCCTCTCGAGAAGAAATGTTAAAAGTACGTATTATAAACAATCCACATTGAAAGGAAAGGAATGTTACTTGTAATTGTAAGTAGAAAGAAAACAAGTACAGTAAATGTTTGTAATACGAAGTATAATTCGATATTTAAAATTGAAGAGATATTCAATTTAGAAATTGAATTGAAAATGTAATATATAGTGTTTAAAATATTCAAATAAATAATAATGTCATTTAATATCAAAATATTATTATTGTCACTTATTTATTAAAATATTTATATTATTATTGTGTAAAATGATATTATTAATAATAATAATTGTATTAATATTAATATTATTATTATTGTATGAAATATTAATATTATTATTGTCACTTATTTATTAAAATATTTATTAAAATTGATCTATGTTTATTGAAATATTTATTGGAATCCTGATCGTTTCAACGCAAGAAGATTACAACGCATTACAGATGATAACTATATAATTCAAAAAACGTAAGAATATATCAACTATAATATAACTATAATATTATATAATTATTATATAATTCAAAAAACGTAGGAAAACGTATTATAATGCACGAAATTTTTTGATGAAGCGACGAAACTCTCAAAGTTACTCAAATTCATTTATAAAGAATAATCATACAATAGTCAGTATATAATCATAAAATACAGATTAATCTCATCGCTAATGCTGCGAATGAACCTATTACACAATCTATAATTTTACGTATGGTATATATTAACGAATTATTTTTGGATTATTGTGTTGTATTAAATTATTGTTATTGTAATTAAGTATCTCTGTTTAAATTTGGCGGATTTTTAATACGTGTACATATTGGTTCCTTTAATTCTCATTAGTGGTTAATCAACTGCATCGACACGAATGATGCACAAACGTGCGAAATTACGTGCAAATCGTTTTCCAAGCAATTTGTTCACTTGTAAATGGGTAATTTTTAACGAAAACAAAAAAAAAAAAAAAAAAAAAAGAAACATGACACGAGAAAAAAGGATCTATAAATCTGGCAAACTCAACCATTAACTGGAATTTATTCCATTTGTGAGCTTTTCTGGAACCACACGAACGCCATACACTTGTTAATTGTTACATTATTACTAGAATCCGTTTTAATATTTCGCGACTATTTATATGGCTCGACCAAACGTATTTTATCTCTTTTTCTTTTCGTGCTGCTGCAATTTTGACCAAGAAGAGCTTTGACAACAAATCGAATTAAAAAAAAAGGCGAGAAAACCTCAAAAGCTTCTCAGGAACGACAAATCGCTCACTAACGAGAGAGTTTAACGTTAATGTTTAGTATAGAGTATAGAGAGGATGAGGCGTAGAAAAGGAAAGACGAGACAGACAATCACAGACAAATGTAAAACGAGTGAAGTTTGAAAATAGAATTTTATTAGCTACAGTAGCAAAATACCTATTCACTTAAATATTTGGCTTCACACGATTACCAGGCTAAGTTTGTTTATATTAATATACAATATGTAAAGAGTGCCATATTGGATATGGGCAGTGTCCGTAGTAGTACGATGAACTTACTCTTCATACAAAGATTTGCGAGATATAAATATACATATATAATATTTATAATATAAATTTTTTTTATATATATATATATATTATTTTACATGCTAGAAAATAGTACGCTAGGCACTTTTTGTTTGAATAGTTATGGAAATAAAACTTACGACGTAGTCGAATTCGTGGCGCGGGGGAGAGGGGGGCAAGCTGTTCGCGGGAAATTCAAAGGCAGTAAAAACGAGTGCAAACGCGGGGGAGAGAAATAGACGAAAAGTACTTGTATGACGTATCGTATTTCCTACGTATCGTGGTGAAACATTTTGAAACGAATCTCTGGAAGGTGTGCGCGCAGAAGTTACGAGTTATTCGTTGCAAACATACATATATCAATGAAAGAAACAAAAGAAGAAGAAGAAGAATTAATATTCAGTACGTGTAACGTGATCGTTAAAGATCGTTATAGTCTAGTCTGGTAATCTCGGCGAAATATGTACTTGTGATTTCTGCGTGTTTCAAAATGTTTCGCAAATACACTCATAAAGTTTGGCAATGAACACTTTCACGAGCCCGCGTATACGAGAGGGAAGAGGAGACACGAAGAAAAGAAAAAAGAGAATCGACGTGGGTGGGAGGTTAAAAACAAAAATAAAACGTGGAAATGAAGAGGACGACATCTTTCGCCGTAAATTTTTACTCGATCCCCTTTCCCGCCTTTTCTGTGTAACTTTCTCCACAATTGGCGACATGCAGGCTGACCGAGCGTCGTTTGACAAGTGCGGCGAGGAAAGGAGACGATAAAAGAGAGGGTTGGAAGGAACGCGGGGATTGAAAAGGGGAAGAAGAGAGCATAGAACACACGCGGGTTTGCTGCTGTGTGGATTTACGTGTCCTTTATACACACTTTGCAGCGACTTACTATGGACCTGAGGTAGCCTGCCTTCAGGGTCTGTTTCTCAGGCCTTTGGAACTGGCGCCCGTCCTCGATCACCGTCATCCAAAAGCTGATCTCGTTCGAGTAATAATGGCAGTGTTCTTCGTTACATTCGATGAACGGCGTCGCGCGGAAGTCCTCCAGACAGGACCCGGAACTGGACAGCGACTGACCTCCGCCCTGTGCACCGGCGCCCGTGTGCTGCGAAGAAGAGAGAATTCGTCAAACCGCGTATCGTTTGCTGATACATGTCGTGAAACGAGAAAAAGGTTCGAATTGGAAGAGGAGCCTCGACGAAGAGTAAAAAAAAATTCCTTTAAACGTGAAGAAGTAAAAATTGTTTAACCTAAACTACTTTGCCTCAACCGAAATTTAAAAAATATAAAAAATGTGAAAAGATAGATAGATAAAACATTCTTTTAACATCGTACTTTCTGTTCGAGCTAATCGAATCTCTTGGTCTCTAACATGCTAAATGATCATTCCTTACAGTAGAAAAACTTTGGAGAGAGGACATCTTTTTGAATTTACGCATTTGAATCATCAGTTCATTCGTGATACTACATAAATTAAATATTCTCCCGCCAGAGAATCGTAGGACTATACTTTTCAATAATATTATCAATTCTTTAACATGTTCAATTTAATGCTAGTGTCTCGCCCACAATTCTATGTTATTTAGGATAGGCATTCTTTTAGAAGTGATCTAATTAGAATCCAATCCAATTACTAGAACACAGTCACTCATTATACTTATATTAATATAAGACACTAAATATTTGAGCTGCTGTTGCAATTAACAATAAACCTGAATCTTCAAATTCATTGTGGAAGATCTGAGAAAAATTTAATTCTTGTAAAAGCATTTCTAGTATGTTGGAAGTAGAAGACTTAGAGATCTATCGTAGTACGACTTTATTTCACGAAAATTTCTAACATTTTATTTTCCGACTATTAGTGTGTGTGTCTAGACGCCAATCATCGTCAAACAATTGCAGAAAGTGTGTGAAAGAATTAATCACTTAATCTTCAATCCATGCCCTCGGTACATTATTTATGTATTTTTGTAAACTTCCCTTTACCTATTAATTTATTTATTTCCTGCATCGTCTGACCAAAATCGTCAGAATTAAATAAATGAAACATCAATTCGTCAATTTGGGCTGTCAATTTTGGCGAACAATTTGGTCGATAATGAATCGATAAAGAGAAATATCCGTACCATGACGAAACTGTATCCAATCCAAAGCTCGGTCCAGCCTTGTGGACAATCTGGAATGGACAGTGACTGGCTGTGCACGGCTATCACATTTGCCGGGACCTCGCAAACCACGCATCTGCAGAACGAAAGAAAATTTCGCTCGTTAATTGACACGTTAAGTGCCACGGTTTCAGCGGTAGTTCGATAGTTTTTGAATTAAACAAATAATTAATTTAATTTCGTGTAAAATTTCGGCACGCCACGCGGTGTGTATTGGTACACACATCGCGTCTGTTGGTAACAACTCTGTTACTCTAACTGGAAGGTGAATTATTAACAAGTGTACATTATATTAACAATTTCATTTCGCGTGTTTCCTCTTTGTGTTTGTCCACGTGGAAACGTTCGTAACTTTATATATTAAATAAACTGAAACGTCACGGCCCCATTGAATTTGCAACTGATTACACGCGGAATAAAATTTCGCTTTACTTAGTTTGGTGTCAAATTGAATAATAATCAGTCAGTTTCGTGTGAAATTATTCGCGGGAGGCAAAATGCGCGCGCGAAAAATAAAATGCGGTACAATTGATTCGTTTCTTCGGTGAAACTTCAGTTAATAATTCAGGTTTTATAATTTGGTAATCGAGTTGACTCTCTCCGCTTGTAATTTGTAAAAGTATCGTTAACTCTGCTATTTCGTTGTTTTTTAATATTTTAAATGCTCTCGTTTCTTGTTTATTATTGATTCCTCTATAGATTTAGAATTCTATAGGTACTTGTTATTGATTCTTCTATAGATTTAGAATTCTATAGATATTTATTATTTTACTAATAGAGTTGACAAGTTTCCGCTTGTAATTTGTAAAAGTATCGTTAACTCTACTATTTCGTTGTTTTTTAATATTTTAAATGCTCCCGTTTCTTGTTTATTATTGATTTCTCTATAGATTTAGAATTCTATAGATATTTATTATTTTACTAATAGAGTTGACAACTTTTCGCCTGTAATTTGTAAAAGTATCATTAACTCTATTATTTCGCTGATTTTTAATATTTTAAATGCTCTCGTTTCTTGTTTATTATTGATTCCTCTATAGATTTAGAATTCTATAGATATTTATTATTTTACTGATCGAGTTGACAACTTTCCGCTTGTAATTTGTCAAAGTATCGTTAACTCTACTATTCCGCTGATTTTTAATATTTTAAATGCTCTCGTTTCTTGTTTATTATTGATTCTTCTATATATTATATAATTATAGCACGACTGACTAATTAAGTGGCCTACATTAATTTTCGTCGGAGTCAATTTTATTTTACAAACATATTCGTCATCCTCTCATTAATTACCGATATTAAATCTCGATATGTGTAACAAACACTCACGCTGATTATTAAAATTCATATCCTCGATATGTTTCATACATCATTTATTTTATAGTTTGCAGTATGTGAAAGTTCACTTGACAAAGATCAAAAATATTGTGGACAACGTACCTGGAAATGTAATCCTCTATCTGCGATCCTGCGATTGGCATCATTGGAATCGGCTCGGTGGTCGACAACCAGTAAGAACGATCGCTACGACTGGCATAGTTGCAGGTGTTGCTGGTATCACAGAAGAGGAACGGCATTGTCGAGAACTTTCGTACGCACGAGCCGGCGTAACCTGTTTTCGTGATTACATTTATGACGATGGATTCAAATCATCGAATGTTCGATCGGCCCACCCATTTCGACTAATTCGTACCGATTCAGACACTTTCAGTGCCACGTTTCTTCCAATTCTTATTTGCTTTAGAAATTTAAACATATTTAAAACATATTTAAAAATATATTGAATTGAAATACATATATTTACCTGCAAATTAAGACTTCGCTGTTTCAGTTTATTTCAATTTCAATATATATTTCACTTGCTCAACGAAGTATATCTGTATTTTGTTCTTGTTCAGTTATATTTATGGGTAGAAACCTTTGGCACTAACAGTGTTAAAAATATAAATACAAGCGACAAATTCAGTCGAAATAAAAGGTGAACGAGATATATTATATACACTTCTTTCGATACTTGCCTAGATCTTGCGAGTGCGATCTTTCATTGCCATCCGTGGATAACATACTGTATCCCTCCCACAATTTGATGTGGCCCGCGTTGCAAACTGGCACTTCGGAGGTTTGACTGTGTTTCACCAACAATATACCGGTGAGATAGTCCGACGCAACTTGACACGGTTGCCCTGGCTCTCCTGGCAGACCTGGGACACCCACCGGTCCTTGAAGACCTGGCAAACCAGGGATACCATCGGGTCCTGCTAGCCCTGGTAAACCAGGTGGACCTGGCGGCCCTTGAGGTCCCGATGTGCCTTTCGCTCCGTTTAATCCTGGGTATCCAGCTGGACCTGGAAGTCCTCTCTCTCCTGGTAGTCCTGGCGGACCAGCCGGTCCTGCAAAGGAGAGTAAAAACGTTCCCGTGTAGAACTGGAATTATCAACGTTTCCTGATTTCGATATTAACCATTTGGCTACTGCTGGCGCCTAATGGCGCTTGGTAAATTTACGCTCGTCATTTACTACTGTAGGCGCCTATTAGGCGCTTGATCGATGTAGCAATTATGATGACAAATGAATTAATACGACGATAGTAGAAATAAATAATAACTACGTAATTAATTTCAGTAGTTTATATAAAAATATTATCGATATAACAAAATATATAGTTACTAATTATATAATTATAGTAATTATATAAAATATATAATTACTAATTATATAATTATAGTAATTATATAAAATATATAATTACTAATTATATAATTATAGTAATTATATACAATATATTTCATTATATTTTATTTTTAGTAATTATATATATAAAATATAAATATATGTAATAAAATATATGGTGTAATTATATATATAAAATATAAATATATATAATTATCTAAAATATATGGCGTAATTATATAAAATATATAATTTCGCCATTCTCGAAATCTGTCGTACTCGAATGGTTAAAAGCAAAGATTCGTTAGTAATAACTCGTTAAAATATTTTGACATAATTGAGTGTATACCAGGATAACCGCGGTCTCCTTTTGGTCCCATTGGTGGCTCGATGCAGTCGTCACCCTTGTCACCCTTCTGACCAACCAAGCCAACAGCGCCGATTCTTCCCATTTGACCTGGGAATCCTCTGTCACCCTTCTCTCCCGGTAAACCCGGTAAGCAAGGTACACCAGGCACACCTCTTTCACCTTTGTCACCAGGCAGACCATCTCTTCCGCTCAGGCCTGTAAATTTCATAAAAACGTATTAAATTCGTGATAGATACTCCAGGTAAATATTCAACGACACGTTTCGGTTCCTTTACATTTGCACTGTTTTATGTCTAGCACTAGTTCTTTTTTTTTTGCAGTTTATAATATTGCATTTTTATTTGATTTATATTAAATTTATGTTCATTAATATATTTACACAGGATGGTCACTGAGAGACTGAATGATATAAAACAGAAATAAATCTTTTACAAACACATGATTTTTTTAAAGTTTTAATTATTTTATTTGGATATATAATTAATGAATTGTTTTTCAGTATTATGTGTGAAAGACAACGTCCCTCAAATGACCACCATTTTCCTGCTCACAATATAATACGGCCAAATACAAATAGCCTTCAGTTTTTCAGTGGCCACCCTGTATATATTTATGTATTTTGTAGTTTATTGTGTCCAAATCTGAGCTAATATTTATATATATATATATATATATATATATATATATATATATATATATATATATATATATATACCGAAATCAACAGTTCACTTGGGGAAAATAATGATAGCAAGATAAAAGATAATTCTGTTTCAATTACCTGGGAATCCAGGTTCTCCCTTTGGTCCCAAATAACCAGGCGCTCCGGGAGGACCCTCGTTACCTTTCTGGCCTTTGTCACCCAGCAAACCAGGCAGTCCTCTTTCGCCTGGTTTTCCATCCCGACCCGGTAAACCAGGAGGACCCATAAGTCCCATGTCGCCCTTCTCGCCCTGTGGTCCAACAGGACCGTAAGGTCCTTGATCTCCTTTGGGTCCTGGTAAACCAGGTAACCCTCGTTCTCCCTTATCCCCTGATCGTCCTGGTATTCCCTCTCGTCCGTGCTTACCAGGCAGACCTGGCAGACCTTTCTCGCCCTTGACAGTTAATCCAGGAAGTCCCGCAGGTCCACGTAAACCTTCGTCGCCTGAAACAGCATAACAACGTTTCGAATAATCAGCGAAATCCTGATGACATTTTCCAAAGGCAATTAATAATTGCATAACTACAGAAAAACGCAGGGTGAGGCAAATTGAGAATCAAGGATTATACCTTTAGGTCCAGAAAGACCTGGTGGTCCTGGATTTCCAACAGGACCTGGCGCTCCTCGATCTCCTTTCTCACCGTCGTAACCAACTAGACCTTCTTCGCCGCGGTCTCCTTTCTCGCCAACTATACCTCGCAATCCTGGCATACCGGGTTCACCTTTCTCACCCTTGATGGATATCGTCGGTCCAGGTTGACCCCGATCACCTTTCTCTCCAAATGCACCAGGGATACCAGGCTCCCCAACAGCACCTTAAGAAATTATTCGACTCATTAGTTTCTGCTGAATGGCTAGTTTCTGTTAATAATCGATCAACTAATTTCTTGTTGTAAAAAGGACGTTGAAAGAGGACGTTACCTGGGAAGCCGCGATCTCCTTTGATACCGTTGAGTCCAGGACGACCTGGAGGACCCATTTCACCGTCCAGACCAGGGAAACCGGGCGGACCCTGCGGGCCAAGGTCACCTCGTTCACCCGGTAATCCGTCGATTCCAGGTGTTCCGGGTTCACCTGGTGCGCCAATTGGTCCCTAAATGATTGGTCAAGATACTTTAAAAGTGAAACTCCGGTTCTCAGAATCGTTTCTATGAATTGAGAACAGAGATGACGTACTATATCTCCTTTGGGACCGGGGAAACCTCTCACTCCAGCGTCACCTTTCGATCCCATAGGTCCTGGCAAACCGTCGCGACCTGGCAGGCCAGGCTCTCCCTTGAAACCTGGTTCTCCGTTTTGACAAGCGCACGGCAATCCGTGATCTCCCTTCTCCCCGTCGAAACCGTCTCTACCGGGAGGACCACCGGGACCACGGATTCCCGGCATTCCCGGCTCACCTTTCTGTCCTTTCTCAGAAACTCGACCTGCCTCTCCTTTGCGCCCCTAATCGAGATTAATCGTTACGATCATTTGTCACACGGATCAGAAAATCATTTTGTTCGATTGACTCATTGAGATTATTACTAAAAAGTGAAGTTCTGCCTGTGTTAGATTCGTCTATTGTAAAGAACTTACTGGCAATCCAGGTAGACCTTGATCACCTTTAGGCCCTTGGAATCCAATAGCACCAGGAAGACCGACTGGACCAATAGGACCTAGGTTTCCTTTCGGTCCAGGTAGTCCAGGGCGGCCAGGTTTCCCTTCCTTCCCAGGCAATCCAGGGAAACCAGGATTGCCTATATCACCGCGTTCTCCTTTCAGACCAAGTGCACCTTCTATACCAGGCCTGCCTGGTAGACCAGGCGGACCTCGTCTTCCCGGGAAACCTTTCGGTCCGTCGATACCTGGTTCGCCGCGATCACCTTTCGCGCCTGGGAATCCTGGCAGTCCTGGTTTGCCAGTCTCGCCTGGGAATCCCGGTTCACCTGACAAAACAAACACGCGTTGACAGTTATTACGCTAGTTTGGAATTTGTTTGAGTGTTGTAATTTGTGAGAGTTTCCCAAACTAGATTTGAAAGTTCTAGAATCTAAGAATCTGGAATTTGTTGAGACTTGTGAGAGTCTCCCAAACTAGATTTGGAAGTTCTAGACATTAGGAATCTGGAATTTGTTGAGACTTGTGAGAGTCTCCCAAATTAGATTTGGAAGTTTTAGAATCTAGGAATCTGGAATTTGTTGAGACTTGTAAGAGTCTTCCAAACAGGATTTGGGAGTTCTAGAATCTAAGAATCTAGAATTTGTTTGAGTGTTAGAATTTGTTGAGACTTGTGAGAATCTCCCAAACTAGATTTAGAAGTTCTAGAATCTAGGAATCTGGAATTTGTTGAGACTTGTGAGAGTCTCCCAAACTAGATTTGGACGTTCTAGAATCTAGGAATCTGGAATTTGTTGAGACTTGTGAGAGTCTTCCAAACTAAATTTGAAAGTTCTAGAATCTAGGAATCTAGAATTTGTTTGAGTGTTGGAATTTATTGAGGCTTGTAATATTCTTCCAACCTAGATTTGGAAATTCTAGAATCTAGGAATCTGGAATTTGTTGAGACTTGTAAGAGTCTTCCAAACTACATTTAAAAGTTCTAGAATCTAGGAATCTCGTACCTTTGCTTCCATCTATGCCAGGAGTTCCAGCAACACCAGGTGGACCCGGAGGTCCTATCGGACCAGTGTCGCCCTTTTCTCCCGGTATACCAGGTAAACCACTTATTCCTGGCAGTCCAGCATCGCCCTTTTCCCCGGTAAAGCCTGGCAGACCTGGCAGGCCAGCAGGGCCATCTTTTCCCGGTGGTCCAGGAAGACCTTTCTCTCCTTTCATCCCCGGCGGACCGGGAAACCCGGGACTACCCTTCACCGATATACCAGGTTCACCTTTTCCTCCTTTGAATCCTGGTGTGCCTGGAAAACCTCTAGGTCCTTCGCGACCCGGTTCTCCGGGGAAACCCATCGGTCCCATGTTCCCCTTATCACCACGCTGGCCTGGTAACCCTCTTGGCCCAACCAAGCCAGCTTCACCAGGCGGGCCTGGTGGTCCAGGTTGACCCTGAATTCATAATACGAATTATTGTTGTGCAATTTGTTGAATCTTGTAGATAGTTTCAGTCTATGTGATATTTACCGAGAAACCTTGTAAACCTTTGTCACCGCTCAATCCATCTCTGCCTGGTGGTCCTGGCTCTCCTTTCTCACCAGGAGCACCTCTGTCGCCCTTGGCGTTGATCAAATCAATCGGGATTGGACAATGGCCTATTTGAAGAGAAATTACACACTCGAAATAATCCCTGCGTATAAAACGTGAGGTGAATTCTTAGAAATGTAAACAAGTTATTCACCGGGTTCTCCTTTATCTCCATATTGACCAGGTTCACCCTTCTGACCAGCTTCACCTGTCCGGCCTGGTTCACCAGGTTCCCCTTTCACGCTGATACCAGGCTCGCCTTTTCGACCGGGAATACCTGGTCTTCCAGGAATGCCATCTTGTCCAGGGAATCCACGATCTCCCTGAAGACAATGGTACAGAGTAATTGTGAATGTCAGATGTCAACAAATATGAATATATGTCAACTGACATAGTCAATTGCAACAAGTATAAATTTGAAAAAGTCATAACTTTTTTATTTTCTTTCCTTGTGGGTTATAGAAAAAAATCCCTTAATTATATTTCCAAATGAAATAATGAAAAATTTGAAAAAAAAGAAACGTGCGTTTGTGAAAGTTATTTTTGTTTTATGTCATTCAGTCTCTCAGAAAACAATGGAACAAAGTAATTGTCAAATGTCAGTTGTAACAAATATGAATAGACATAGTCAATTGCAACAAGTATAAATTTGAAAAAAAACTGAAGGGTTTGAAAACGTCATAACCTGTTCATTTTCAATCTTTTTTATTTTCTTCTTTTGTAGATTATAGGAAAAAGTCCATTAATTATTTTTCCAAATGAAATAACAAAAAATTTTAAAAACGTATGTTTGCGAATGTTATGTTTGTTTTATGCCATTCTCAAGTTAGATGGTGAGTGCAAAGTAGGGAAGTGTACGTCGTACTCACAGCAGTACCCTTGGCTCCTGGGAAACCTTCAAATCCCATCGCGCCTTTCTCTCCAATCGGACCTGGAGGTCCAGGCGGACCATCTCTTCCTACTAAACCTCGCGCACCTTTGTCACCTTTCTCCACCTTGAGCATATTCTCCGTGACCACTGCTGGGGCACCGGGCTCACCTTGAGGACCCGCTGTACCAGGAATACCATCCTTTCCCTGGAAATTTAAAAGACACAAGATATAGCAAAGATTCTTTCGTTTGGAAGCTGGAAATTATTTATATCAAGTCGTTTCTTTCTTCTAATACTGGCGTTTAATCGTACCTCGTACACAGTGGAGAGCATAACTGTACCAGTGACAAAATTATCGAGATAACTTCGTATAATAATCAACTTGGTCTCATTCTTCTTTTGACACTCGTGAGTTCTTTCGTAAAAAAACATTTATTTCGTGGCTAAATTTGCCATAGTCTTGAAGATTGAAGTTCTTTTTCTTACAACTCGCATTTCTTATTGAACTTCAAACGTTAGGTTAGATGACGAAGAATTTCTTGAACTTCTATCGTTTAACCCTAAATATTCAATGTTCGATAAAATGATGAAGAAAATTCAACGATATATTCCAAAGAGCCACTGTAAAGGGGAGACTTCGATCTTCGAAAATGATATTAGATCTAATTAAGAAAAAAATTTTTTGACACTTTTGCACGCGTTGAAATTTTGGCAATTTTTGGAGGAAGAAAGCATTCTAACTTTCTGATGTAAAATAATCTTTGGAAGAAGCTAACTGACGACTGTAAAAGTAGAAAATTCACCAGGTGAATCATTATGTGATCTTTTTTCTTTTAATCATCGGCAGCGTTACATTGTCATTGTCACAGTTATGCTCTAATGCTTCATATAAAAATGTAACTAATGTAATAAAAATCTGAAGATACCGGTAATCCTGGTGGTCCAATTGGTCCGGGTAATCCGTCGGTACCCGCTTCACCGAGAAATCCTCGTTCTCCAGGCGGACCTCGCGGTCCAGGAAGTCCAGGCTGGCCGTCGAAACCGCGATCACCCTTAAGTCCTGGCAATCCTGGCAAACAGTCAGTACAACGTCCTCCAATCTCTCCTTTCTCGCCAGGTGTTCCCGGATATCCTGGCAGTCCGTCTTTTCCTGGGGTTCCTGGCTCTCCTGGTAAACCAGGCGCCCCGGGCACTCCCGGTATACCATCCACGTCACCAGGAACACCGCGTGGTCCTGCGTAACCGCGTTCTCCCTTCTGACCTTTCTCACCGTCTATACCGGGCGCTCCGTCCATTCCCTTAGGTCCCTACAGTCGAACAATTTCAGAAATATCAATCAGAAGGATCGTGGCAAGTATAATCCAAAATTTATTAGGAATTGACAGTGTAACAATTAATATTTCCTAATTAATTTAATTGGAGTAAAATTTGGTGAAAAAGTATGATAATTTTAGAAATGTTAATTATGTTACTAAGGATCGTAGCAACTATAATGCAAAATTTGAAGACTTGTAGCACAAGACACTTGAAAATTAATAATTTCTAATTAATTTAATTGAAGTTACATTGTTTGGAATTTTTTTGGAAAAGTTTGATTATTTTAGAAATATTGTTCAGAAGGATCGTGGCAAGTATGATCCAAAATGTAGAAACTGACAGTGTAACAATTAATATTTCCTAATTAATTTAATTGGAGTAAAATTTGGTGAAAAAGTATGATAATTTTAGAAACGTTAATTATGTTACTAAGGATCGTAGCAACTATAATGCAAAATTTGAAGACTTGTAGCACAAGACACTTGAAAATTAATAATTTCTAATTAATTTAATTGAAGTTACATTGTTTGGAATTTTTTTGGAAAAGTTTGATTATTTTAGAAATATTGTTCAGAAGGATCGTGGCAAGTATGATCCAAAATGTAGAAATTGACAGTGTAACAATTAATATTTCCTAATTAATTTAATTGGAGTAAAATTTGGTGAAAAAGTATGATAATTTTAGAAACGTTAATTATGTTACTAAGGATCGTAGCAACTATAATGCAAAATTTGAAGACTTGTAGTACAAGACACTTGAAAATTAATAATTTCTAATTAATTTAATTGAAGTTACATTGTTTGGAATTTTTTTGGAAAAGTTTGATTATTTTAGAAATATTGTTCAGAAGGATCGTGGCAAGTATGATCCAAAATGTAGAAACTGACAGTGTAACAATTAATATTTCCTAATTAATTTAATTGGAGTAAAATTTGGTGAAAAAGTATGATAATTTTAGAAATGTTAATTATGTTACTAAGGATCGTAGCAACTATAATGCAAAATTTGAAGACTTGTAGCACAAGACACATGAAAATTAATAATTTCTAATTAATTTAATTGAAGTTACATTGTTTGGAATTTTTTTGGAAAAGTTTGATTATTTTAGAAATATTGTT